GATGCGGGGCTCGATCCCAGGACCCTGGGATCATGACCTGAGCCGAAGGCAGACGCTTAACGACTGAGCCACCCAGGTGCCCCTAAAAAAAATTATTTTTAAGTAATTTCTACACCCAACGTGGGACTTGAACTCACAACCCTGAGCTCAAGAGTCACATGCTCTACCGACTGAGCCAGCCAGGCACCCCTAGGTTTATTTTTTTTACTGCTTTATTTAAGTATGACATATGGAAAGGTACCCCATTCTAGACTTTTCACAAAGTGAACACGTTTTATCCATCATCCACCCTGATCCAAACCTTACTAGCATCCCAGTGACCTCACCCGCTTACAAACACCTGTGCCAAGGTGACTGTCGTCCCGACTTCAGTCAGCACAGGTCAGCTTGCCTGTTTTTGAATTCCGTGCCTGGCTTTCATGCAGCGTTCTGTCTGTAAACAATCCATGCTGTGTGGCAGGTCTCAAGGTCCGTGCTGTCCAGTCTGCCGCTATAGGATCACACCCTGCTACATTTATCTCTCCTCTCAATGGACATTTGACTTGTACAGTATCTTCATACATCTTCGGGTGCACCTATTTGGGGTATTTTTATAAGTTAAATACCTTGAGGTAGAATTGCAGGTCATTAGATGGTGAGCATAAATCCAGCTTTGGTAGATGTTGCCATAGGATAAGGCAGTTATATAAAGTTACACTGCCATCAGGGGTTTGGGAGAGGTAACAGTTGCTCCATGTCTCCTGGGGGACCCTTGGTATTGTCAGTCCTCACTGGAGACATTCTGGCGGGAGGGGCGGCCCCTCATTTGTTGTAGTGAGGTTGCTGGGAAATGAAAGGCGGCCTCCACGTCTAACAGGTGGTTAGGGGATCAGTTACAGTATGGATGTCTGTGGCATGTAATACAGTGTGGCCATTCAAAATGATGTTTGTAGAAGTATATTGTCTTAGATGATGTTCTCCAGGAAAAGTTTAAAACATTACAAAAATGTGATATAGAAGTGATGGTTTTTGTGAACTGTAGATACATATTTTTCCAGGTTTTTTCCCCCCAATACTAATAGAGATATTCAAACACATACACATCCATTATTCTTTTTTTTTTTATTAAAAGATTTTATTTATTCATTTGAGACACAGAGATACAGAGAGAGAGAGAGAGAAACCATGAGCAGGGAGAGAGGCAGAGGGAGAGGGAGAAGCAGGCTCCTCACTGAGCCAGGAGCCCAATGTGGGGCTCCATCCCAGGACCCTGGGATCATGACCTGAGCTGAAGGCAGACGCTTAACCATCTGAGCCACCCAGGCGCCCCCACATCCATTATTCTGCAGCTTGCTTTTCTCATTCACCCATATCTCATGGATATCTTTTTAGGCCAGGTTATTGTTTTGCTTTGTTTTGGTTTTGGTTTTTAGCTTTCTCTCTTTCAAATGACTGCAAATTGTTTTATTGAGATACCATGATTTCTTTTGTCCCATCTACTAAGGTGAGCATTTAAGTTGTAGGAGGACATTTGTTGACTTGAGAAATAGGTCAGGTAATTGTTACTTGCAAAAGCATGTTGCAAAGCAGTAAATACAATATAATCCTATTCCTGTTGAAAAAAAAAGTATCTACTCAGCTACAGACAGATAGCCATAAAGCAAGGCATCAGATTGGTTTTCCTTGGTGTTACCTCCATTTTCTTTTTCTTTTTTTCTTTTAAAGATTTTATTTATTTATTAGAGAGAGAGAGACAGCGAGAGAGGGAACACAAGCAGGGGCAGTGGGAGAGGGAGAAGCAGGCTTCCCACTGATCAGGAAGCCTGATGCGAGGCTCGATCCCAGGACCCTGGGATCATGACCTGAGCTGAAGGCAGATGCTTAACAACTGAGCCACCTTGGCGCCCCTTACCTCCATTTTCTTTTTTTTTATTACCTCCATTTTCTTTAATGATTATGTATTGCTTTTGTAGTAAGGACAAGAAAGCATAAGAGTTGCTTACTTGCATCTACAGTTGACCGTTGACACACGGGTTTGAATGGTGTGAGTCTACTTATATGTGGATTTTTTTTTATAAATACAGTTTAGTACTATATTTTTTTATGATTTTCCTAACATTTTCTTTGCTTTAGCTTACTTTATTGTAAGAGTACAGTATATAATACATATACAAAATATGTGTTGATCAACTATATATGTTATTGGTAAGGCTTCTGGTCAACAGTAGGTTGTTAGTAGTTAAGTTCTGAGGGATTCAAAAGTTATAGGTGCATTTTCGATTGTGTGGGAGGTTGGTGGCCCTAAGCCCTCCATTCATTGTTCCAGGGTCAACTCTTTATTCACTTGAGTTGCCCTGGCACCTGTCTGAGGAAAACTGCTGGTGTGGGTTTGAGTAGGTGGGTCTTCCCTTGGCTGGCCCCTCGGAGTGAGAGGTGAGGGTGGGATTGCCGCCTGCTTTGGGAACCTTCTTGTGGGTTACTCACTAGCCGCCCCCTCCAGGCTAGCTTCGCCCCGATGGAGGACAAGCTCAATCAGGCGCACATCGAGGTACAGCAGCTGAAGGCGTCAGTTAAGAACTATGAAGGGATGATTGACAACTATAAGAGTCAGGTAGGCGGCTGCCCGGGACGTTGACCTCTCCCAGGAAGGGTTGGCTGTAAAGGTGTTTTTCACCGAAACTCTGCCCAATCCTCTGCTGGCCCCCAGGTGATGAAGACCAGATTGGAGGCTGATGAAGTGGCTGCCCAGCTGGAACGCTGTGACAAAGAGAACAAGATCCTTAAAGATGAGATGAACAAAGAGATTGAAGCGGTACTGCTCCCCTTCCTTGCTTTCTTCCGCCACCCAATCCCATGTCTGTCCCCCTTGGTTGCCTGTGAGTCTCCCAGATTTGGACCAGAAAGATTGACGAGTTTTCTCATTGCTGGGCTGGTCCACAGTACCGCACGTGCGCTCTCTCTCTCTCTCTCTGTTGCTTTATTCCTTTTCCTCCTGGTTTTTTCTTTCTTCAGTTTCCTTAAAATAATCTCTCCTCCTTAGATCATCAAAGTGGATTCAAATGCTCAGATCTGCCAGGTCTTAGAAGTTGCCTATTTCGTTCTGCTCAACCCAAAGATGTGCCTCCCCTCCCCTTTTCCCCAGAGAGCCTTATTCTAGAGATAAAGGGATAATCTTAATATTAACCTAGGAGAAGGGCTGAGTCCAGGCCCAGCCACTCATCTGTTACATAGCCTTAGGCAAGTCCTTGCCCCATCCAGTCCTCAGCCTCCTTGTTAACACAGGCATGGACTAAATCAGAGAGCTCGGACCTGTAGCATTAGGATTGCCTTCCTAGGGGCATTGGAGTTAGACTGGACCTTAATCCTGGCTCTGTCAGTTTCTAGCTGAGCAACCTTAGGGAAATGACTTTGCTCCTATGATCCTTAGAGCCCTTGTATTGGGAAAACAGCCCCCACTTTATAGGTCGTTGTATGAATTAATTGAGAGAGCCCTTAGCACTGGGGGGGGGGGGGGGGCTAGGGGCCTGGTGTTTGCTATGTGATTGCCATTGTTATTCAATGACTAAAGGAGTGGCAGGCTCAAGGGCTATTTGGGGTCAAGTGTGTCCCTCAGAGAACAGCTGGAGGGGAGACCTGTGGGGAGGGCAGGCTACATTCCTGCCTGTGGTTCTCACAGGACCCTTTTCCGGGGACTGAGGGCGGCCCTGCCCTAACTCCAAAGGACTCTGCCTGGCCTCACCAGCAGCAGGGCCCTTCCCAATGGTGGGCTTTTCTCTCCCACTCCAGGCCCGTAGGCAGTTCCAGTCCCAGCTGGCTGACCTGCAGCAGCTGCCCGACATCCTCAAGATCACGGAGGCTAAGCTGGCAGAGTGCCAAGACCAGCTGCAGGGCTATGAGAGGAAGAACATTGACCTCACAGCCATCATATCAGATCTGCGCAGCCGGGTAAGGGACTGGCAGAAAGGGTCCCACGAACTGGCGCGAGCAGGGTCCCGCTTACCAAGATGAGCTGCACACCCCCCCCAAGGGAGGACCACTTCCTTTTTCTTGGCTGCCGCTTTCTGAAAGGAGTGAGCTATCATCAGTGCTGTGAAATAAAAGTCTGGTGTGCCAAATGCCTTGTGTTTGCACAAAGTGATTGTAGTTATAGGAGCCGCCACTGTCCTGTGTTGCCCGCCCCCCGGTGCTCCAAGTCTCCTCCGCTCTGCGGCTGCGCTCGGCCCCCGGGGAGACACCCAGCCCTCCGAGTGCTCTTTCCCAACTTTCTCTTGCTTTAGCTGCCTTTCCCTACTCTTAGCTCCATTGCCTGAGGTTCTGACCCCAGAGAGGGCTCCCTTCCTCCCAGAAGCAGTCTGCCTCTGGGTTACTGGAATCCTGCCGATGGTGTAAGAAACTATGTGCCTCTCATCTGCAGTGGGACCTTGGGTGAGGCCCTTCCCTTCTCCTGACCTGCTACCTTGTAATAATAAAAGTAGCTGTCGTTTCTTGAGCACAGACTTTGCGCTCCAGTATTGTCTCACGTAATTCTCCCAGGAACGTTAAGATGTAGATACTATTTTCCCCCATTTTCCAGAAGGCAGCCCAAGGCATAGGGGCATAATTTCCTGAGGTCACAGAGCTGATACTTAATGAACAGGGTTTGGAACCCAGCCAGCTCCATCTGCTTCCCAAGCCCGTGTTCTCAGTCCTCTTAAGTTGCCTACCCTCTCTTGAACCTGAGCATTCTGAGGGCCTTTCGAGCCTGGTATCTGAGGCTTCTGCATACAGCAGCCCTCTGGATAACCTCTCAAACTCGCCAGCCTGAAAGACTTGCTGGGTTCCCTGTTGCCTTGCGTGCACTTGTCCCCATTCAGTGGCAGAATGAAATCAGCGGTGCCAGCAATGTAACTGGTAAAGCGCCGTGGCACGTCATGTGGGCCAGTTAAACCCACCATCTGCTTCCGCCCTCTCATGTCTGCCCTGGATCCCATTGAGTGGCTTCTCCTGATCAAGAAAGCATCACCGTGGTTCATCGGGATCAAACCTGGCTTCTCTTCGTATGGGAAAAGCCTTCACGGGAGTTGGGCCTAACCTGTCCCTCCTCTCCTCTCTCCTCCAGGTTGTGCGTTGAGACTTGGATGCCTGCTGAGGGCAGCATGCCCCTCTCCTGGGTGTGGATGACAGGTCCTAGGGGGAAGGGAGGGCTGCACCGGGAAGTTCCTTCATAAACAGGTCTGTGTTCCTGTCATTTTAGATCGAACATCAGGGGGACAAGCTGGAGATGGCAAGAGAGAAACATCAGGCTTCCCAGAAGGAAAATAAACAGCTGAGTCTGAAGGTGGATGAACTGGAGAGGTTAGAGGCACTTGGTCTCATCTCTGTCCTCTTCCTAGGACCTGAGACTTTCAGCCACTTAGCTGCTTTGGGCTTAGTGTGCAGAAGTGTTTGAGGGACTCAAGGCCCTGGAAGGTACAGGGCAGACCTCAGAGGAAAAGCTGCTTCCATTGCAGTGGTAAGCATTGTGGGAGAGAGGAAGGCGGTCTCTTGACCGGGGGATGCTCCAGAACAGTGTGGTCACGTTCAGACCACCCACAGGCTCCACCGACCAAAAAGGCACACTTCACCCAGCAAACCAGCAGGACCAGTATGCGGCTGTTGGGGGGGGGGCATCCCCCCCTTCACAATTTGCTCTTTGTTTCTGACCCTCCTTCCCCAAGACCTTTCTGATCTGATTCTTCTGTTACATACGGACTGTTGGAGGTAGTCAAGGGAAGAGTACAGCTTTTAGAATCAGAAGCCCTGGCCTTGGGTCTCAGCTTGGCCACTTGTATTGTGATCTTGAGCAAATCCTTGAACCCTTTTGAGCCTCTGTTTACTCATCTTGAGAAGGGGATCAAGGGAGGGATAAGAATCTAGCTCATGAGGTTATTGTAAGTCTTCCATGAGGCCTTCCTCAAAGGCCTTAACACATTAGTTGCTATTATCCGCCCCCCGCTTTTTTTTAAGTATACTCCATGCCCAACATGGGGCTTGAACTCGCGACCCTGAGATCAAGAGTTGCACGCTCTACCGACTGAGTCAGCCAGGCGCCCCTACTATTATCCCAATTTTAAATATGAGGAAACTGAGCATGGAGAAAGGTAAAGTGACTTGCCCAAGGTGACACAGTTGGTATCTGGCAAAGCTGTGACGTAGGCCCCTGACTCTCCTCTGGAGCTTTTAAGCATCTGTAAAATGAGGGCCGGAGCCTTAGTTTCAGAGCTGAAAGGCCTGGAGCCCTGGGATGCCATGACTGCCCAGGTGGCTCATGCAGCCTGCGTGCTGGGACCTGGGCAAGCAGGTCTCCTGGGCCCTGCCACCGCTCTGCTCTGCTGGCCTCCAGTGTGCAGCTGGACTTAGCAGGACTTACAGAGCTTTCAACTGGAAGATGTTCTGGAAGTGCACTGGGGACCGTGTGTGCATATCGGAATGGTCACCGCAGCCCGTGGTGGCTCACATCCGCGCTAGAGCGGTCCAGCTGAAGTCCCTTTGCTGAGGGGGCAGCCGTGAACAGAAGCCGAGGGCATGGGTTTTGGTGACGGACCAGCCAGCTGTGTTGACCTCGGGCCAGTGACTTTAGCTCTCAGTGCCTCAGTTTCTTCATCTGTAGAGTGGGGATAATGGTGACCCGTGTTTTTGTTGTTGTTTTGTTTTTTTGTTTTGTTTTACAGGTGGCAGTTTTATCTGTCCTCTATAAATTCTTTTAAGGTTAAAATTTTAATTATAAAGAAATACATTTTAATCTTATTCTAGAAACTTCCTTCTCTCCTAACCATTCTCCCACATGCATAAGCAACAAATTAATTGCATTTGTGAAACATTGTATAACTTCTAAATTTTAAGTTCAGTACAAGGTGCTGTGTTTTGTGTGCTAACAGGCACACTCAGTCTGCCTGCCCTGCCCGCGCACTCTTCACACAGCCCTCTAACCGGCTGTCTGGGCTGCTCAGCTCCCTGCCGTCTTGCTGATCAGCAGGTTTCTTTGGTTTATTCCTGTGGTTCCTTGGAGACTCTTGGCGTGATGAGAGCCCCCGTCCAGGGGTGACTGGCAGCCCCCTGGCGGGGTGGAACAGGACAGGTAGGGGTATGAGCAGGATCTGATTAAGTGCTTTCACCTAGGAAACTGGAGGCAACCAGCGCCCAGAATATCGAGTTCCTACAGGTGATTGCCAAGAGGGAGGAGGCAATCCATCAGTCCCAGCTGCGGCTAGAGGAGAAAACACGGGAGTGTGGGACCCTGGCCAGGCAATTGGAGAGCGCCGTTGAAGATGCTAGGAGGCAGGTCAGTCTCGATTCCATTACTAACTCTGTGACCTTGGGAAAATCACCTGACCTCTTAGCCTATTCTCCCATCTAAAAAATGGGCACACAGTAGTGGCACCTGCCTCATGAATTCGTTGTAAGGATCAAATGAGCAATTACTATAGAGGATTTGGCCCTTTATTCATGATGGCTTATTCAGTTGCAGCCTGTGTGGGACTCAGCCAGGTTTACCAGAGCTCAGGTGATGACTCATGGAGTGTGGGGAAGGGGCAGGTGAAGTGGGCTGCAGAAGTCCTGTAGTTAGCTCCTGCCCCGAGGCTCCTGGGAGCTGTCCACAGCGACGTGCAAGGGCCGTCCGTGAGACCGGAGCGGGAGTGGCCCAGGCTTCTCTGCCTGGCGTTGCCCAGGTGAGGTAAGCCAGCCACACCTCCGTGCCTTCTGGGCAGGTGGAACAAACCAAGGAGCACGCAGTCTCCAAGGAGCGAGCTGCTCAGAGCAAAATCCTGGACCTTGAGACCCAGCTGAGCAGGACCAAAACTGAACTCAGCCAGCTGCGGCGGAGCCGGGACGATGTGAGTCGGGCTGGAGGGTAGGGGGCAGAAGAGAAGGGAGTGGATTGAGATTTTAGCTTCCTGGGGCCTGCAGGGCAAGGTGTTTTTATGAATATGATATGGTTTTATTTTTCTCAAATCACTTTCCCATCCCTTAAGGATATTCCAGGCAGATCCCTTTTTTTCTTAACCGCTTGGTTAAGGTATCATTTACATACCGTAAAAGTCACTCGTTTAAACTGTACGATTCGGTGGTTTTTATTATATTGACAGAGGTGTGCCATTATCGTCACAAGCTGAGTTTAGAATATTTTCAGAAAGAAACCCCATAGCCATCAGCAGTCCCTCCCATTCCCCCGCCGTCAGCCCCTGGCAACCACTGATCAAGTCTCTAGGGATCTGTGTGTTCTGGACATTTCACACACTTGGCCCGTACTCTCGTTCTCCCTCCTAGGCTGACCGTCGCTACCAGAGCCGGCTCCAGGACCTCAAAGATCGCCTGGAGCAGTCAGAGAGCACCAATCGCAGCATGCAGAACTATGTCCAGTTCCTCAAGTCATCCTATGCCAATGTGTTCGGGGACAGTCCCTACACTACCTACCTGACCAGCTCTCCCATCCGCTCCCGATCTCCTCCTGCCTAAGGCTGCCGGTCTTGGGCCAGGAGCCTGGATTGATGCCATGGGAACCGCAGAGGGGCCAAGCCATAGCTGGAAAGCCTCTTGCTTTCCTATCTCTTCCACTGATGGAAGTGTGTTCAGGCAGGATCTTGTCTGAGCTACTGGCCCCAGAAAAGTCCCTAAAGCAACGAGGGGGTGGGGTGGGGGGGACAGGAACGACTTAGTTTTCTCTTTCTCCCCTCTGACAGAGTCACCTGATGGAAATTAATTACCTTGACATGCCATAAATCTACTAATCTTAGGGTACCAGATTTTAACTCACCATGACTTTGCTCCTTCCTTCCCAGAGAAAATGATCTGGACTTTTTCTTCCAGTTCCCTCACAGCCCTCCTCTTTTGAGGAATCTCTCCCTTGGGTTTTCTCTTCCCTGAACCAGCAGGCTCTATTAGCCCAAGGTCCTCACCACCCCTCCTGGGCTGTGAGCATGTTCATTTGCTGTTTTCTGTCATGGGTACGGTGTTTGCCCCAACGTCTCCCTCCCACGCCCGGAGGAAACCTCATGTTCGAGTGTCCTTGAGGCCACCTGTCCCCAAGCACTTCACAACAGACACTGCAAGGCCCATGTCCAGTGGCCTCTTCAAAGTGTAATCCCAATCTCACTGATTTTTGTTTCTCTTTGCCAGGTTTCTATCTATGGAATGCATTTAATTCTGGAAATATGTGTGTTGTTTTACAAGAAGCTTTTATAATCAATATTTAAGGCTCCATTGGATGATTTCCTTTACCCACCCCTTCCCTTTTCTAAAAACGATGAAGGAAAATGCTGCAGGAGAGCCAGTAAACAAGTACTTGGTGCCTGGGACATGAGGTTTCCCATTTCATTTTGGCCCAGGTTGGTTCTTCCTTCCTTGTGCACCTTCTGCACATCATAATCCTGTGAGATGACTGGAGAACACACTTTGTACGGCACTGCTCAGTGTCAGGCGGGATGGATAGGATGGAGGAAGACAGGATGTGTATATATTACTATTTTTAAAATGTCAGTTGGTTTCTTTTTCTTTTTATAAAGATCTTATTTTGGGGGGTGCCTAGGTGGCTCACTCGGTTAAGTGTCTGCCTTCAGCTAGGGTCATGATCCCAGGGTCCTGGGATCGAGCCTGACGTCGGGCTCTCTGCTCAGTGGGGAGCCTGCTTCTCCCTCTCCCTCTGCCTGCTTGTGCTCTCTCTCTCAAATAAATAAATCTTAAAAAAATAAAGATCTTATTTTTAAAAAAATTTTTAAAGATTTTAAGTAATCTGTACACCCAACATGGGGCTTGAACTCACACCCTGAGATCAAGAGTTGCATGCCCTGCTGATGGAGCCAGCAAGGTGCCCCTAAGTATCTTATTTTTAAATAATCTGTACACTCAACATGGGGCTTGAACTCGCAACCCTGAGATCAAGAGTTGCATGCTCTACCAACTGAGCCAACTAGGTGCCCCGTTAGTTGGTTTCTGAATGACAAGATTATGGGCTATTTTTGTGCTCTTCACATTTTCCTGTATTTAAAAGAAAGAACAACACATTCCTTAGAGGGTGAATGAATGGGGTACTGTGCTGAACCCTAACCTTTCTGTTTTAACTGTTACTGGCCTTCTGGGTGATCCAATCTTGTCCTCTCTATCTACTCTAACCCAAGGACAGTGAACTCCAGAGAATTCCCCTATGTCCTCAAAAACAATGGGCCCACACAGTCATCTAGATTCAGAAAATCTCCTTCCCACCTCAAATTTTTGGACATCTGCAGTTTCCAGCTTTTAATTTTGCCAAGGGAGTTCATTTGAAAAACAAGCACCAGCTACCAGTGCCACAATTCGAAGCCTGTTTTCATAGCTTAATGATAAACTGACTAGAACTTACAATGTATGAGCGATCTTCCACAAAAGAACAGTTGGGGGCAGCCCTCTTGGGTCCTCTCCCTCTTCGGGAGCTTTGTACTATCACTCAATAAACTTTACTTTGCTGCCCACCAAAAAAAAAAAAAAAAGGTACAGTTGGCAAGCTTACACCAGTGTGGTACATATCTGCCCAACTCATTTGTATTTTTGTAAAACTAATGAAAAATTCCTCCCGCAGGGCACTGCTGTTTACAACGCTGGTGGGAAACACCTCTTTTGGAGTCTATTGCTGGGACTCTCTCAACGATGTTCTATTTTTCTTTGTAAAGTATTTTATTACAAACAGTCCAGAGAGTTTGTAAAAAAAAAAAAAAAGAAAATGTTTGTATCACTTCAAACTCCAGAGGGTGTTTCCTTTCTACCTCGAACTAAGATCCTATGAAATGGGCAAAAGAATTGCCAAAGCTATGAAGTCCCAGTTAAAGCTGGTTCCCAGCAATGGTGAATCTTATCCGATGTATTGAGATAGGATTCACATGCCATAAAATTCACCCTTTTAAAGTGTATAATTCAGTCATTTTCAGTATATTCACAAAGTTAAGCAACTATAAACTTTTATCTGGTTCTAGAACATTTTCATCACCCAAAATGAAGCCCATACCAGTTAGCAGCCACTCCCCCTTTCCCCTCCCCACAGCCCCTGGCAGTCACTAACTAAGTCTCTAAGGATATGTTTGTTATTCTGGACATTTAATAAAAATGAAATCATACAATATTGTGACCAGTGCTTTCACTTAGAATAATGTTTTCCAAGATTCATCCATGTTGTAGCATGCATTGTACACTTCATTTTATGGCCAAATAATACTCCATTGTATGAATACACCCTATTTTATTTACTCATCAGTTGATGGACATCTGTGTTTACACTTTTTAGCCACTATGAGTAATGCTGCTACGAACATTCTACGAGGTTTTTTTTCTTTTTTTTTTTTTTAAGATTTTATTTATTTATTTGACAGAGAGAGACACAGCGAGAGAGGGAAC